TCTTACAAAGAAAAATGTTTTGTGGAGACATAAAAAAAAACTAAGTTTTACTTGTAATTTAATTTTTACCAGGTTCTTCATTAGAGGCTGTAACCACCTGTGAACTCTGTAAAGAGAAGTTGCAGCTTAACCTGGAGGATTTTGATATTCATGAACTACACAGAGCTCATGCAAATGAACAAGTTAGTATATTTTGCTTAATTGGGTAAGTGTCTGTTCTATGCCTAAAGGACAACTGTTGAAGAAAAGATTAAAACATGGTCAGAAAACTGGCATTAAAATAATAATATTCTTAACATAATGTTCTGTTACTGCATTAGATATTACAATTTTATAGTTTTTCTTTATTTTTCTCATCACTTTTTGTAACTGAAAGTCAAATAACCAACTCACTGGTTTTACATTTATTAAGATAAAAGACATCATATGCTTCCTAAATAAACCTGAAAATAATAAAAGCTTAGGAAAGTGGTCCTGAAGTAGGCATGCTGACCATATCTCCCCAGAGATGTGTCAGTTACAAATGCCTCTGAGCTCTGGGACATGATTAAAACACCAAGCCCTGGATTTGCCTCCTGTATCTGTGTATTTTATTTTAGGAATAATTTTTTATGTACATGTTGACCACATGTTCTTACTATCCTTTTTCCCTCTACCCTCCCCATATCTGCTTCTCAGCTGTGTTGAACACATTATTTTATTAGATCTTCTACTCCAACTTCATATTGTTCTTTCGTTTAGTATCTATGCCATTAAAATCTAGCTGTTAATTATGTAATGAATAATGGCAGAGTTTCTCTGATCATAATAAGATTTTCAGATATTTTCTTATTTCTCAGGAGGGGTTGGTATGTTTAATTCCCGCCCCTCAGTAATTTTGATCACTAAATTTTGTTTCCAGGAGAGCTTTAAATTCTTTTTTTAATTTTTGAAATGCTTAAATTATGTAGTTAGAATGAAGAGCTCAATCTTTTTCAAAACCTTAAAGGAAGATTGGAGGAGGGGTGAAGAAAAGATGTTGAAGGAGGTTACTAGGATGATCTTAGAACCATACTATCCAAGTGAGCTTAGCATATTTGTTACAAAAAGAAATATGTAATGGTGAGGGAATGCATAAATTCTTTAAAAACACTTTTTAAATGAAGGGGTAATGGACCCCCTTTTTATTCACATGAAGTTCACATAACATAAAAATGATTTAAAGTGAAATTCAGTGGTATCAGTACATTTGTGATGTTATGCATCAGACACCTCTGTCTAGTTCCAACATCTTCATCTGTCTGAAAGAAAAACCCATACCCATTAGACAGTTTCTTCCCATTACACCCCTTTCCATATCCTCTGGAAACCACCAGTCTGCCTTCTGTTTCTGTGGGTTTATCTGTTACAAATATTTCATACAAATTGAATAATGCAATATATATGGTCTTTTGTGGACACTTTTTACTTTCAAATATGGGAATAAATGAATACCCCTTGAAAATCTGATTAAAACCATGAACACTTTTTAGAAAATATACATAGACACAAAATCTGTAAATGATTTGAGGGATTCCCAGATCTCTTAAAGCTAGTTGCTAAGATCTAGGTTAAAAATCTCTGATCTAGGCAGTTGATGTACTACAGATGCGACTCTAATACTAATTATTGTGTTATTCTCTAATGAGTCAGTTGTCCAAAAAGGAAGCCATGTTAAGCAAGGACTTTTTTTTTAATCCCCAAGGAGTATCTCAACAACTGAGCATTTTTTTTTTAGTACTTTAAGGAATGGGACAAAGAATATGGAAGATAAAATAATGCAAAGAAGTTTTTTTTGTTTTTGTTTTTCTCAAAATGAGAGTAGGTCTCAAATTTTCTCCTGCCATTTTTCCTTCTCTGGGCATTTTTCAATCCAACAAGAATGATGTTATTGACAGTTTAAGGTTCCTGACTTTGACTTCCCGCGCGCGCATGTGTGTGTCACAGATTCTAGTGGCCAGACAACTACCTCCATTCTAAGTGATTAGTTTAATATAGCTTAGTATTTCATTATCCAGTAACTTCATCTTTGTCAAGATGATAACCATTACCTTTTAAAAATCTTTTCAATGTATAATTTTTTATAAGTTAATAATAAACAAAGTGAGTGATGCATTCGAAGAAACTTTGTTTTAGCAATTTGTTCCTCCTTTTTTAAAAAGATTTTATTTACCTATCTGTAGAGGGGAAGGGAAGGAGAGAGAGAGAGAAATACCAATGTGTGGTTGCTTCTCGAGCATCCCCTGCTGGGAACTGGCCTGCAAACCCAGGCATGTGCCCTGACTGGGAATTGAGCCGCAATCTTTTGGTTCCCAGGTCCGCACTCAATCCACTGAGCTACACCAGCCAGGGCTTAAAGAAACATAATACATCAGCTTAAAATTTTTGAAATATTCTAGCTGATAACTTGCTGAAGTTGGTACTAAGAATGTACAGTTTTTAACGTCAGATAAGTTAATTACCAAAAAATGGTACAACTTAATGGTAGTTTGCTATATAAAACCTCCAGGACAGTTTAGATTTTAAAAACACTATATGATTTATAGTCTTAGCTTCAAAACAATAGAGCAGTTTGGAATCAAAGAACTGAGGAATCGTTACTGTGTTTCTTTTTTTAGTTTATTTTTGTAATTAGTGTTGCTTTTAAATTAACTGTATTACATAAGAAACACTTGGTCTGTTGGAATAGCTTTTCATTATACAGTATATTGATTTAGCTGTAGGTGAAATGGTCATTTTTAAGTAAACATTTGTAGCCATTTGTGCAATGAAATTTTTTATGAGCTTTATATAGAAGCAGGGCATTCATTCTACCACCAATGGTTTTACATAAATCATGACATAAAGGAAGACTATAAGAGAATAAAGAGGATAGTCACACACCTATTTTGACTTGTCATTGGCATTAGTAACGATTTTTGAAATTATGAAGGGTGGCCCTTCATTTCTTGTTTTAACAGGTGGCACCATATTTCTTAACCAGGATCTAGACATGAATACATTTCCTCTAGTTTATCAGTGTGCTGTCAATCTCAAGTATACTAATTTTTCATTCTCCATATTCTTTTTTTTCTTGTCTGCTTCCCAATTGAAGGCTGAGTACGAGTTTATCAGCTCCGGTCTCTACCTTGTTGTGTTACTGCACTTTTGGGAACAAAGCTTTTCAGATATGATGGGAAATACAAATGAACCAAGCACACGAGTCCGAGTAAGTAACTTGGGAGTGGGGGAGAAGGGAGGATATGATATACCAAGTATTTGCTTTAGAAAACAGTTTGTTTTGTATGTTGACATTCTAGTTACTTTGGGAAGCTCTTAATATTAAAACGTATCTTGAAGATATTATAGATATAATAGAAATTGCTGTTTTTTATACCAAACAGCCTAATTTTCTCATAAAACTATTTTAGAGAAGTAATTTTTTAGCTCTTAAAGGTTATTTTATATTGGTGAGAATATATTGGTGAGAATATATTGGTAATATATATTGGTGAGAATCAGAGAATTGGAAACACAAAGGGAAAAACCCTTTTTTTAATTGGGTGGGAGGCAGCAAGTGACAAGTCAGTATTTTAACCTGAAATCGAACTCCAAAAACCAAGATAATATGGGAAGTACACTTCAGTTTATTTGTTATTGTCATGTAAAAGCTTATCAGTGTACTGATTTTAAGTGTGTCCATAATATAGATTTAAGATACGGACTATTTGCTATTTAATCTGTGCACTGTTACCTTACCACTTAAGCCACATGTTTTTGGTGAGGTATTAGTAAGTAACATGGGTTGCCTCAGTGAACCAGAGGGAAGTTGTGTGCTGCTGCCTTACCCAGTTTGTGTAGCGGGGCTAGGGCCACCTGCACCTTGACTACAATAGTCTGAACACTTCATGTTTTTAAATGTGGTCATAAACATATCATTTAAACTTTTTATATAAATGTTCGTTTTAGTGATAAAAATTTAGCAGTTTATGGTATTTTAAAATTAACATATTCAGTACATACTATACTTAAAAATTGGTAAAAACATTTTTCTGAAACCATCATGTGGACATTATTATACCTGTGAGCCAGTTAACAAATTATTGTCATTGAGGGATAAGAGAATGAATTGTCATAAGACTTCAGAATTTGAGCAGAGATCTCTTGTCTCCTGAGTACTTTAGAAATCATAGTACTTATTTAAATTTAGTTAATGCCATAAACTGACTTCTGTCTTAAGAATGAATAAGCCATGAAGCATGTCAGCTCTGTTGAATTCATGCCTTTGTAAAAGCTGTAGTCAAGTTAAAGTACAAGTCATTTTTATGATTTAAAAACAGAATTACATACAGAATTAAATAAAGTCTTTTAAAAAACATAGAATTAAATGTAATAATACTTCTCAAGCTATCAGCTTAGACAGAAAAAGATTGATTCTTATTTCAGTTTTTTAAAATTAACCACTAAAATAGAATTTGAGTCCAAATTGTAAAGCTCTTAATTATTTTTCTTTATAATTGTTATGCATTATATTTATGCAAGAGGAATGTTTTTTGATAAAAATAATTCATTTGCACCCAATTTCTACATCATTAATACATGATTTCTACATGGCTAATGATTTATTAAAAATTAAAAACAATATACTTAAGCATTGTAATTTTTGATGTGGGTCGGGAGGAGAAAGACCCCTATTTAAAGGCTTAAAATGGTGTTTGACATTTTAATAGAAATGAAACTCCTATACTAATTCTCTCTTTAGATCCATTTGCAACATTTCAACTACTGTATTTTTTTCTGCATTGTTTCTAGTTTATTAACCTTGCAAGAACTCTTCAGGCACATATGGAAGATCTCGAAAGTAGGTGGAATTTCCCCTCTCCAGACTTGTTGAATATACTTTTGCAAATTAAACCCACAGAGGAAAACCTAAGTATATACTCTCTCAAATTAGAGCTTTATTTATAAGCTTAGTAATAGAAATTGACTTGAGAAAGATCAGCTGGGCAACTGACGTTCGTTTATTACAAAACATTTTTAAGTAGTATTAATTTTAAGGTACGGAATAATCTAACTTTAATCATTGGTATATTCTATTTTGAGTAAACTTTTGATCACCTTAATTTTCACACTTAAGACATATTTGAGAAGTAAGCAAACAACACTTACTAATCTGTTAGATTTGTGTGCACACAGAGAATTTTTTATTAGTTACTCAGTTTTGTTAGTTCGTATAAGGTTTTCCTGGGCTTATATATAGTTCTAGGAAAATAAGGGTAAAAGAGCCCCAATTTTGAGCCCATAACAGAAGCCATAGTGATAGGCTGGTGGTTGTTGGGATTGTTTTTGTTTGCTCCTTGTTTTGGTTCTCATGGACCTTTAATAGGTAGCCAGCTCCACCAGCAAGCAGCTCCAGTCTTTTAAGATCACATTCCAGCATTAGGATTTCTGCCTGGGCTCCTATATGAAAGCATTTAATGTTCAAGTCTTTACAGGTATCTGTACAACATACCTCTTTTCAGAGTCCTACAACTTCCATGGTGCTTCATACCAGGAATATTGGTGGCTCTGGAACAGTTCCAACACTCCAAGATTACCCTGTTTGGTAGTACTTTTTCACCCAAAGCAAGTGGCTCCCCATGATTAAATTCCAATGTACTCTTTGAAGTGCTTTAAAATAATATATTCTCCAATTAATTACCTTCTATATCATCTTCAAAGTAGTTGAAAATGGCTGTAGTGTGCCTAACATTTTCATGTTTAGAGAATGTTCAGCATTTTTTGAAGTAAGGTGTGAGAAGAACTTAGTCATCATAAGAACCTTTCATTCCTTGATTACTCTAAGACATGGATTTTGTCATTCTGTATTTTTAAGTTTTGAAAGCAGTAGAAGTATAACCAGATAATGCATGTTTAGGATTTTAATTAGTATGTGTAAAAGTATGTAAAGGCATATGGTATATAAGATAGGAAGTCATTCACATGAGAAGGAAAAGAATGGAGGTGAAATATACTCCAGCTCAGCTGAGAATGAAAGGTATTGTGGGTGCTACAAGTTAACTCCGAAGTACCAGAGTATTTTTTAGTTTGATACTGCTCCATGATAAAGCATAAAACTTAACCCTAGGATTTACTCATTCATGAGTTAAGTATATGCTTGATATCATTTATTAAAAATGAATTTAAGTTTTTTACAAGATAAATAGACTGAAATATGGAAAGTGAAGTTTCATCTGTACTTCACTTTCTTGTTGTAATTTTCTTGTTGATTCCACTTGCTGAGTACTCTTAAATTTTCCAGTATTAACACAAGACAAGTATACATTTAACCTTTCTGCCCTTGATAATAGGGGGAAATATGCTAGTTGAATGTTTATTTTAGTCAACTTCTATTTTCTCCAGCATGCAGAGCAGTTTACAGAATTCTTAATGTTATTTCAGAAGACGCTTCAAGATGTTTCATATTAAACTCTTGAGCCACTAATGACTCTAAAATAGAGATCAGAAATGTTGCAAAAGTGAGGTTTCTGACAATATAATGTCATAGGAATCATTTCAACAAGATTTTTACTGAATCCAGTTATTTTAACTTAGGCTGTGTTCTATATAAAGCTATTTGGACTAAATAGAGCTTTTTCTTGGCATTATACAGACATAGCTTTGATGTAATTTGCAAGAATGCCCATAACATATTATTTGTATACATATTCTTTCATTCTCACTGGATGTATCAAAACATGCAGTGGTAATAAGCCAGATTCTACTCAGGTGTGTGAGAGTACTTGCCTTAAGTTCACTTTTTCTGTAGCATAATTGGCTACTGTAAACAAAAACTGATCTCAGGAACTTTTTAGAAAATGTTCTTGAATCACATTTGTAAACATTTTCATTTTTATAAAAACTAACATAAAAAGGTTTGGGGGTGGACGTATTGTGGATGGGCATTAACCACAGTCAAACCACCCTAACCCTGTCATAATTTGCCATTTTGACCAAACAAAATTGGGATTTTGTTTGGGACCATACTAAATTGGGATTTTATTTTACAAGTCATTGGTATTCTGGCTTCATATTTATACTTCCACTCTCATCCCCCTTAAAATCATTCTTGATCATCCCGTTTTCTTTCAACAGCTTCAGAGGATGATTCTGAAGAAGATGGAGACCATAACAGAACATTTGATATTGCCTAACTTCATATAAGACAAATGGATGATCTGTTAACAAGTGTTTATTAAAACTGGCAATTAAGGATGAATCAATTTTGTGGGGGAATGCCTATTGAATACATATATAAAATGAATATATATACACATGTAATCATGTATGTGTATATATATTCATTCTCAAGTGTTGCTGAATTAAAATTCTATTTGCTGGACCTTTTCACGTGGCCAGTGACTCTGATGTTTATAAACTGGTAATCAAAAGTATTTTTCTTTTAGGTGAGTAGGAAAGTATTACATTATTTTAAATATCTTAGCAATGCCTACAGTTTTTTTGTGTTCTGATTATTATAGTCATATTTATAAAAATGGTTCGTGTTTTAGTCTTTTGCTAGTGAAAAAAGTAAGACAGAAATATACTTTCAAAATAAAATGCCAGATGGCACCTAATTATTTTTCCTTTTAAAATGCCTTAAGTTGCAGCATCATTTTCATAATCATTTGCTTCCAGTGTTTAAAAAAAATAAAGAATGGGGAGTAAGTTGTGAAGACCGTTATATTAGGTGTCCAAATTTAATTTACATTCTAAATTCACTTAGCTATAAAATAAAATTTAATTTTTTTAAAGTATACAAATATAAAATGTATAAATTATGGATAAAGTTTTACAATGATTTGGAAAGGGCAGATTATATTTGATAGGCCATAGTATGTGGACATTTCTTTTCGGAATATTACAGCTATAAATTACACCAGAATTGCCAGTCAGATGCTATTTGGTAAATTTAAAAAAAGGAAAACAATATTGCAGTCTCAAGTTATTGGAATATTTTTAAATCCCGCATACAGAGTATAAAACACTGGTTTTCAATGTGTTTTTTAGTGTTGTCACCTTTTTGTAGATAAATACGATATAAATAACCTGTTTGAATCCTGGTCATTTTTAACTGTTCCTTGCTAATCTGAGCATTTATTTGGTGAATTACTATTTTTCACTACCTTTGGAGAACAGATGAACTTACCCACTCAACATCAGTAGATCTATACTGTGGTCATGAGTTGTGTATAGTTCCAGAACAGTATATTTTCTTTGTCAACAACACCCTTAGGATATACTTAAAAACACCTTCAGGTGATTTTAGGTTAAGTAAAGTCTTATGTCATGGCAACAAACTTCTTTTCCAGAACCTAAATAGAAACCATGTTATTTCTCAAATGTAAATCAACAGTTTGCCTACAATTAGTTTGTTGGTCTTAATGTAAAATCTTGGCTTGAAATAAAGTGCATACTGATTGATTTACTTTATAGTTTGAGATGTTTCCTTTTAAACTAGTGCTCAAAGTAGACTTCAGACCTTAACATGCAAGAATTTTACTAAAATTTCAAATTTCACTTCATATATATTCATATAAAAATATAAATATTTCTAAAACATTTGGTCAACTTGTTAGCTTTGCATTCATTGCCTTATTTAAAGCAAAAATGCAGAATTTAAGGATGTCAGTTTCAGTATTTATTCTGTGGGTCCTTGGGGATGCTTTGAATTTGAAACATACTTTTAATAGAACTCAGTATGAAAATTAAGTGTCTACTGATTTAACCAACAAAATCTTCTATTTAAAAGAATCAATTAGCCCTAACTGGTGTGGCTCAGTGGATTGTGTGCCAGCCTATGAACCAAAGGGTCACTGGTTCGATTCCCAGTCAGGGCTTATAGCTGGGTTGCTGGCCAAGTCCCCAGTACGAGGCACATGTGAAGCAACCACACAATGATGTTTCTCTCTCTCTATTTCTCCTTCCTTTCCCCCCTCTAAAAATAAATGAATAAAATCTTTTTTTAAATTAATGGTAAAAATCATTCCATTGGTCCACATAAAATGTTCATATTTTTTAATATTAATGTTAAGTGACAGAGACAGTGACTTGAGCTTAATAGTAGTATTCTTGTAGTTTCTTAGTACTACATATTTAATAATGTATTAGCTTCTGAATCCTGTGAATGTGAATTAAAGGAATTGGAATAAGAAAAATCTTTCCTTTGGTTATCACTTTTAAACTGAACAAAAATAAAGAACCATACATTACTCACTATGAAGATGGCAGAATCCTAGGAAAAGTAATATTTTTTTAGATATATGCCAAACATAATTTATACTGTCATTATTAGCTAGAAGCACAATGTTGAAGAGAGCAATTTACACATTCTGAATATAAGCAAGCAAGCATGCGTAATTTGTTACCTGTTGACCACCACGTACATGCAAGGCTCTGTTTACAAGTATCCTGATACTGGGTTGGCCAAAAAGTCTGTTTAGTTTTTTCTGTAAAATAAAGACACATTTTTCAATTTCACCGGTAACTGTTGATTTGGATATTCTGAGTATGTCAGCTATCCTCCTGCGTGGTATGTTAAATATTCTGAATGTGTCAATTTGATCTCTTATCAACTTCAGCTGGTCTACCTGATGGTGGAGCATTGTTCAGCGAGAAATCTCCAGCACAAACTTTGCAAACCACTTTTGATATGTTCAGTCAGAGCACCTTCACCATACACTGCCTTTTTTTTTTTTTGCAATTCACTTGTGTTTTTACCTTTCTTGAAATAAAGCATAATATGTGGAGAATGTTGCCTCTTTTCTTCCATCTTCAGTGTTAAAATGGCTGTACAAAAATTCTTTGTTGTGTTTTTTAATGCTGATATGACAGTTGTCACAATACAGTCTAACAAAATTGTTAAAAATGAAGTTAAAGGCAACTTGCACTAGTAAAGCCATCTTACAGGAAAAAGACAAACGTTTTGACCAACCCTACATACTAAGAAAATTAAGATTTAGCATTTCATTATGAGGGTCCTCTGAAAACTCAGTTAAAAAATGAACATGGGGATAAATCTCTTTAAGACAGCCATTTTGCAAGAGCTGCCATTAGAAGTTATCAAACAGAAGAAAATTAGATATATGGCAGTGAAGTAGAAGGGGGAGTCTAGAGCAACACTGGCCAGCAGAAATGGAAATACATCATTGGCATTGCTCAATATGGTAGCTATTAACTGCATGTGATTTGAGCACTTGAAATTTGGCTAGCACAGTTGAGGAAGTGAACTTTTAATAGCCACATATGGCTACTGGCTACCATGTTAGAGATTTGTGACAGTAATGAAATTTTAAGAAAGGTAAGAATTTGAAAAGGAGACTAAGAAAAATTCTAATGTTCACTACTATTAGTACCACTTAGTAGCTTACTAATAAAGTAGACTTTTAAATCACTATGAAATATCTTAAGAGATTTAAAGGTCTTGTAGAGCATAATTGTTGTATAATGGAGCTTCTATAACATTTTTTAATACCATAAAGGTACACTTTTATAGTCCCTCTGTCATCACTATAGTTACTCATGTCTCATTAACACTAGTGTTACTGTGATTAGTGGTGTTTTGATTCATGGTGAGGCCAATGGAAACAGATGGCACAAATTGTGACTTTGTTGCCTTTGGTCAAACAGATAACATATGCAAGAAAAGTATTCTCCATAGTTACTCTTGATTAGGGGGACCGAATACTTGAGTTTCGAGTTCCTAAATAGTGAATAATTTACAGTAGTGTTTTTAGCTTTAAAGAACACTTAAAAAAGTAACTTTTGTTTCAGCTTTTCACCATTTTTATTTTTTACCCCCAAAAGATTATTTTCCGCTTTCTCTTAAATTGTACATTAAGTGTGCTGAAACCTGGTCACTCTAGTGGTACATATTGTTTTTGTGCATTTTTTTGCTTAGTTTTTATTGATATGGTTCATCAGTGCTGGGGGAATATAAGACAGCTTTATAGAGGAACAGGTGTGGTGATAGAAAAATCTTTATAAAGGTTTTAGGATACAAGTGTTACTTTTACTACCAGCCTCCCACCATCTTCCTGGTGTGGCTGTAATTGTTTTTCTTTCAAAGTGCATAAAATTTTATTAAAATTCTAATCATTTGTGATCATTGCTAAATACTATTGTCCAAAATGGTGTTCTAAAAGTAACAAAATTGTAAAATGTGATTTTTGTGGAATTTAGGGTGTTAGAAATTTCTAAAACTTTCTAAACCTAAATCATAAGGATGAAAAACATTAGAGGAATTACATGCCAGAGTAACAGGCTTGCACTCATATATCTAAATACATAGTACTTACTTAAAAGGTTTATTCCCCATATTGTATTTATCAATAAAAGGGCAAGCCTAGTGATTAGTAAAACTGTAATGCTAGGTAGAATTTATTTCCCCCCAACTGTAAGGTTCAACTAAATGGGAGGGTAGGGAAGATAGAGCAAGTAAGACAAATAGAGCGGGGTTTGGGGTTTTTTGGTTTTTGTTTTTCCCCTGCGTGGGCCTTAAGCTTTCATCAAGTGAAAAGTAACATTTGGGAAGGTGGTTAAAACCATTAACATCTGAGATCATTTCCAAATGAGATGAAGAATGTTACTGAAATAAGGATATCTACAATAAAACTCATTGTCAAGTTTTATATTAAAATCTTCAACATGAATCACTGTCAGTGTATTTGATGTCTTCATCTGGGATTTCCAAAATTTCATTCAAATTAAACACACTCATTTTCTTCTGCCACTACCAAAACACAGTCGTCATCATAAGGTGATTGGGGTGCAGTTGAAAAAACTGTGGTGAAACCAGAATGCAAGTTTCTTTTGTACAGGAACCAAACGATTGCTCCTAAAACCGTCAGAATTACTGTGCCAGCAATCACCAATGCTGATATTAAAATGTGGTTATCTGAAAAGGGAAAGACAAAATACGGGAATCAGGTTACTTAAATCACTAGTAGGAGACACTGATAGTTTCCTCAAGTAAATATTTGCCTATTTTGGAATTTCCCACATTGATGTGAAGACAGTTACACACTTACTACTATCAAGATTTAGCTTGAACAATTGCCATAAAAAATTTTAAGTACATTTTGCAATTCGCCATTCTTAGTTCCTAGAAGTCTTTTTGTCATTTGAATTTTGGTAATTTTATTTTTGTATTCCTGAAGTAATGATGTACAACCTTTCAGTTTTGGGCTATTCAAAACCCTTGCAATCTTCCTGTAAGAATTTAGTTTAATAACAAGCAAAATTACTCTTGTTAAGGCATTCAGAGGAGGACAGTGGTTTGAGGAAGATATTTGAATTTAGTAGTAGAAGTGTTACGGGAAAACTCAGAAATGTGTTTACAGTTGTATTTTTGCATTGAGATTACTTGAATATTACAATGCTCCTTTCAGTCGGTGCTTGTTAAAGTGAGACTTGGAAAAATGTACAGCTTAGCAAGAAAAATATGGCCAAAAGTTATCTGTTAAGGTGAGGAAAAGCTGTCAATACATTATTTTTTAAATACTGACAGGCTTTTAAAAAGTTGGGAGAAGTGAGGAAATGGCCATAGCTGAATTCTCTTCTTTTCAGTCCTAAAATAGATTGTTTTGTAGTGATCACAATTTTTAAGGTGTGTGGATGTGTTATTATTAGAGACACTTAAGGGAAAAAACGTTAAGAATTCTATAAACTTCAAATGGGATTTTTCCTTAGTTTTTATTAAACTTAACACAGCCCATTTATAGCACTTTGACTTTACCAGTGTGAACATATTTTATTTTGGTCTATTAATCTATAATATACTCATAATCAGTACTATCTACTTTAAATAGTGATTATTACATGGCAGTAGCTCATTAAAGAAAAAATACATTTTAGTCTGAGCATGGCAATTGAGACAATGGCATAACAGACATAATTACGCACCTTAAGTAGTAAATTAAAATACCTACTATCCTAAGAACTGAACAGCTTCCTGATGCATTGGTGGGGCACAATCAGTACAAATGCTCTTTTGTTTTTTAACGTTCAGCAAGTGACCCTTGGCCAGGCTGCCTCCAGGATCTTTGGTTGGGTAGCTTCATACTGAAATGTGCAGGAATGCCAATCTTAAGGCAACTAACGAGTAGTGTGTGAAAACTACATAAGGAGCAACTACTAGGAGTAAAGGATAGTTCTACATTAGAAAACCTAATTACAGGGAAAATTCATTGCTTATTTTACTGACTGAATAATTGCTGTTACTTAATACTAATTAAAAACAGCTTTTAGCTAGTAAGGTAAGTCTTGCTGAGCCTAATAAAAGGAAGTTTAGGAAACCTGTAACAAACATGCTTGTATTAAAACAGGCTTACAATCCACTCAAACACAAACTCTATTCAACCAAAGGTCACTAATCTTTGCATTAGTAAATGCAGAAACACATGTACATTGATTCCTGTGTCTACTGCAGCTGAACTATTAGCCACTCAGCTTTGACATGCTATCTCCTTTCCCTTTTATTTTTAAAACTGTTCCTTTCTAATCATCTTTGTGGAATCAGAATTCTGCTTGGTTGATCTAAGTCACTTGTGTCTTTTACATAACTACTTAATAAGTATGTGTATAGTTGGTGCTGCTCCCCACTTACTCCCAAATCCATTTTACCACAAATTCTCTTAAATGATACCAATAACCACTGTTAACTCATCCAATATAGGAATTACTCTAGATTGCACGTTTACTAATAATCAAGACTACACGTTATGTCTTCTTTCTAGTTTGACCGTTTCTCTTGTCATCATACACTAGTTGTAACATTGATTGAGGCCCAAAGGTACATAATCCACTTTACAAAAATACAGTGTTGTCGGCCTGGCTGGTGTGGGTCAGTGGATTGAGTGCCAACCGGTAAACCAAAGGGTCATGGTTCAGTTCCTAGACAGGGCACATGCCTGCATTGTTGGCCAGGTCCCCCAATAGGGGGACAAAAGAGAGGCAGTCACACTGTTTCCCTCCCTCTCTCCTTCCTTTCTTCAAAGTAAAATCTTTTAAAATAGTGTTGGACTATGATGATTATAGTCTGATTTGATAATTATAGTCTGATTTGAGTGCCTACTATGTATGTACAACTGCCCCCCCCTTTTTTTAAAAGATTTTTATCTTTAAAGGGGAAAGAGAGGGAGAGAAATACCAATGTATGGTTACCTCTCATGCGTCCCCTGCTGGGAACTGGCCTGCAACCCAGGCATGTGCCCTGACTGGGAATCTGACTCATGCACCATCTCCTGTAGGTCATTGCTGAATCCAGCTTAGGCTAACTTCCCCTTTTCTGCATGCTTACTACACCAAGTGCAGCCACTTTCACAATGACAGCATTCTTTCCAAGGTCTTACACTTGAGTGAAAGGGAACTTCCTGTTTGCCTGGAGCATTACTCCACTTAACTATTCTAGTTGCTTCAGCTCAGTGATACCATACTTTCTTCACAAAGTCATAAACATAATCCCTTTATGACAGGCTTTCAAACATTCTGCTCAAATATGGCCTTCCCTGGCAACCCTATTTTAAAAACAAAAAAGACACCTCCCTTTCTTTCTTCACTAGTCTTTTTTCTCTACAGTACATACCACTATTTGACATACCATATATATTTACATGTATTTAATCTTCCCTCTAAGATATAAGATTGAGAACAGAGGCTGTTTCTGTTCACTGCTCTGTCTTCAATGTCTAATAGAAGAAAGCCTCACACATAGTACTTAACATCTATTTGGGGGATATGTTTTTTAATTCAAAGCTCACGAGCCTGAAGACCAAATGTTGCGGGATGTTTTATTCCTGAGGTGGTTTGGGGGCCCATCACAGACCTACCTGATAATTTTCTGTTCATTTCAATTTTCATATACTTTTTTCCCTTAAGTATACATTTACATAGCTTAAAATTCATGGTTCTATAACATGCAATGAAAACTGCTCCTGCCCCACTGTTCCTCACCTTTAGTTTCTGTTCCTCAAAGGTAATAACTTCTGTCACTGGTGTTACAATGCTTGCTTCTGAGCTTTGAAATGACATGCTTATACTGCCTTTGTTGATTTTAATTTTTTAATTATGGTAACAACACTTTACTGTCTTAAATAACCAGTTAAGTGTACAATTCAGTAGCACTAAGTACATTCACATGGTTGTGCTATGTTACCACCATTCATCCATAGAACTCTCGCAAACCTGAAACTTGTATTAAACAGTATCTCCCCATTTCCCTCTCCCTCAAGGCCCTGGCCCGAATGACCACCATTCTACCTTCTATGAGGTGGACAAGTTCAGGTACCGTATACTTGGAATCATACAGTATTCTTTTGTGACTGGCTTATTTAGCTTAGTGTCCTCCATGTTTATGCCTGTATAACATGTCAGATTTGCCTTTTTAAGGCTAAATAATGTTCCGTAGTGGTAATATATACCTCATTTTCCTATTTGTCTGTTGATGAACACTTGGGTTGGTTCCACCTTTTGGCTATTGTAAATAATGCTGCTATAAACATGGGTGTACAAATATCTCTTGGATCCCTCCTGTCACTTTGGGCATATACCTAGAAGTGGAATTGCTGGATCATATGGTCATCTATTTTTAATTTTTTGAGGAGCTACCATGTTTTCCACAGTGGCTGTACCATTTTACATTTCTACCAATAGTACACAAGGTTTCTACTTACTTTTTTTAAAGCTTTTTATTATTATTTTATTTTAATTATTGTTCAAGTACAGTTTTTTGCCTTTTACTCCTATCCCAGCCCACCCCCCCTACTTTCTTCATATTGTCAGAACTTGTTATTTTCTGTTTTTTAGATAGCCAACCTAATGGGTGTGTGGTTGTGCTCTGCCTGATATTTTTAGATGTTATATATTGCTCCTACAGAAGAGGGAGTTAAATACAAATGAACTTTTAAAAACTCTTTCATCATAGTTGTTATATCAGGGCAAGCTATAAACAGAAAATAGTCAAGATACATATACCTGAAAAAAGACTTGTATCTAAACTTTTAAGGATAAACTACCAATTAATAAATCGAACCAGCCTGGTGTGCACCAGTGTGGCTCAGTTGGCTATCATTCTTTTGCAAAGCAAAAGGTCACCTGTTTCATTCCTGGTTAGAGCACATGCCTGGGTTGCAGATTTGCTCCCCAGTAGGACACATATGAGAGGCAGTTGATAGGTGTTTCTCACACTGATGTTTCTCTCCCTTTATTTCTCCTTCCCTCCCTCTCTAAAAAAATAAATATTTAAATTTAAAAAAAAAGGAAGCAAACCTAACAAAAAGTAAGGGCAAAAGACTTGAACAGGCATTTCACAAAAAGATATCCAAATGGCTGATAAACATGCTCAACATGGCTGTAAAGGTGCTCAACATCATTATTAATCAGGGATAGGAAAAATATTACAATAATTACCCTTCTAAATGGCAAAAATTAAATAGGTCAGTTGACAGTACTATTCACGGTTGGATGAGCAAATGGAATTTGAGTACATTTAAATACATTTCTAGCAGTAGAAATGTAACGTGATTCAACTACTTTGAAAAATTATTCAATGATTTCTACGCTATGACTCTGCAGCTCCACTCTGGAACTTTTTTAAACACCAAATTGTATTTTCTCACTGAACTCCATTATTTGTTTTTGTGGACAGAAATCTTTTCTCTAAAAAATTTATCCTGTTACAGTTACAATTCACGAAGCATCTGTCTTAAGCACTTACTAAATGCATTTTTTTTGAAAGCTACAGGTAATGTACTTACGTGCTTCAAAAGTAAAGCTATACAAGACAAATACTGAAGTCTATCTCCCATCTTGTTTCTCCCACTCAAGGAAAATGAGAATATAGGTCTAAAGAAGCATGACAAATTTCATACACAGGTCTGTCATATTAGTGCTAAACTACAAATGACCCAGATAACCTTCATGTACTAGAATGGCCCTGGCTGGTGTAGCTCAGTGGACTAACTGCCAGCCTGCGAACCAAAAGGTTACTGGTTCAGTTCCTAGTCAGGGTACATACATGCCTGGGTTATGGGCCAGGTCCCCAGCTAGGGGTTTGTGAGAGGCTACTGATGGATGTGTCTCTCACACATTGATATCTCCCTCTCTCACTTTCCCTCTATCTAATAATAAGATCTTTAAAAAAGTGGGTAAAATCTTGCATACTTAGATATTACACAATAATAGCAAAAGTACAATAGATATGCATAACATAGATGAATAAAAATTCCTGACTGAAAGAAACCACTAGAATTATGTTTATGTAAAATTCAAGAAAAGCAATTAATATACAGCGATAGTGTGCTGGTTACCTGTGGGGTGGATGGGGGTAGGGTGGGCATTTATAGGAAAGGGAATTGGAAAATTGTGTGATGGGGATTGTGTCTTCATGTGAGTAGCAGTTAGGTGTACACACAAGCAGTCATCAGGCTGTACATTTCAGGTTTGTATTATACCCTGTTTATACATCAAAATACAGAGATTAAAAAACATCACCCAATTTCATAAGAAATTCATATATTGCTTCTAGAAATGCAAAATGCTATATTGATAGAAGTTACACCTCACTTTTAAAAAAATTTTAAATATATTTTATTGATTATGCCATTACAGTTGTCCCATTTCCATATTCATTCCCCTCCACTGTGCACACCCCCTCCCCCCACATTCCCCCCTTTAGTTCATGTCCACGTGTCATAAGCTCTTTAGCTTCTACATTTCCCACACTATTCTTGTCCTCCCCGCTGTCTATTTTCTACTTAACATCTATGCTACTTATTCTCTGTACCTTTTCCCCCTTTTTCCTCTTCCCACTCCCCTGTTGCTAACCCTCCATGTGATCTCCATTTCTGTGGTTCTGTTTTTATTCTAGTAGTTTGCTTACTTTGTTTCTGTTTTTGTTTTAGGTGTGGTTGTTAATAACTGTGAGTTTGCTGTCATTCTACTATACATGTTTTCTATCTTTTTCTTAGATAAGTCCCTTTAACATTTCATATAATAAGGGCTTGGTGATGATGAACTTGAACTTGACCTTATCTGAGAAGCACTTTATCTGTCCTTCCATTCTAAATGAAAGCTTTGCTGAATAGAGCAATCTTGGATATAGGTCCTTGGATTTCATGACTTGGAATACTTCTTTCCAGCCCCTTCTTGCCTGTAAGGTCTCTTTTGAGAAATCAGCTGACAGTCTGATGGGAAGTCCTTTGTAAGTGACTGTCCCCTTATCTCTTGCTGTTTCTAGGATTCTCTCCTTCATTTTAATCTTGGCTAATATAATTATGATGTGCCTTGGTGTATTCCTTCTTGGGTCCTACTTCTCTGGGACTCTCTGAGCTTCCTGGATTTCCTGGAAGTCTATTTCCTTTGCCAGATTGGGTAATTACTTGTTCAAATAAGTTTTCCACTTGTTGCTGTTCCTCTTCCCTTTCTGGTACCCCTATAATTCAAATATTGGAACGTTTAAAGATGTCCTGGAGGTTCCTAAGCCTCTCCTCACTTTTTTGAATTCTTGTTTCTTCATTCTTTTCTGTTTGGTTGTTTCTGTCTTTCTTCTGGTGCACTCCATTGACTTGAATCCAGGTTTTCTTCCCTATTGGTTCCCTGTGTATTTTTCTTCATTTCACTTAGTGCCTTCATTTTTTTCATCTAATTTGTCACCAAAATCAACCAGTTCTGTGAGTATCCTGATCACCAGTGTTTTGAGCTATGTATCCAATAGGTTGGCTATCTCTTTGTTGCTTAGAAATATAGGCTCTGGAGGTTTGAGCTGTTCATCTGCTTGAGGCATAATTTTTTGGTCTGTTCACACCTGTTACATATGAGGGGTGGAGCCTTAGGTGTTCCCCAGGGCGGGGAAACCCAGTCTCTGGGTTGTGATGCTGTATGTGAGGGTGGGGTCCTAGAGGGAACAATGGCACTTGCTCTGCTCTCTCTTGGATTTTAATCCCTTCCACCACTTCTCCAAAGCAAACTGGGCTCTTCTGGTGTTGGTTCCTGGGTGGGTGGGCTTGTGTATGTTCTAGGACCCTGTGGGTCTCCCCAACAAACTCTCTTGTGAGGCTGGGAGCCTCCCGGCACCTCAAACCCCACAAGTGTTTTCAATTGGCGCTTTTAAGTTTTATTTCCCATCACTGGGGCCCTGGGTTGCACAGTCTGTCTCACTGCCCGTTTTTTGCCTGGTTTATCTGCATGCGAATGTGTGACTGTGGTCAGCCAGCATCCTTGCGCACCTCATTTGGTCTGCCTGTTTCCTCCTCACACCCAGGTCTGCCAACCAGTACTTTTTCCTGCTGCAATGCCTCTTTGCTGGTCGCCAACTCTGGATGAATGTTTCATTGTCAGGCTTCCATATAGTTCAGTTTCCTGTCTATTCTGGTTGTGTTTTTGTTTCTGAATCTTTGTTGTCCTTAAATTTGGTTGTGGGAGGAGGTACAGTGTTTCCAACTGTGCCTCCATCTTGGCTGGCTCTCACTTTCAATTTAGCAATAATATTTCAGGTAATTCAGAAAATACGCATTTATGCAAGGTGACTGACCCATTGCTATTATAAACAAGGACTTGGATTCAAGTCCTTTATAATAACAGAAGTTTAGAAACAACTCAGTAGTCAAGCTGGTTAAATAACTGTATATCCATACAATGGAAGAGTGTGTAGTTATAAAAAGGAAGAAGAAAAGAGACCAGTATATAGGTAATGGTATGGAGAGAAATCTAAAATATATTAGTGAATAAAAGGTACAAAATAAGTCTCAGATCAATTTGCTTACTGGCAAAAGAAGCACTAGGCAGTTAAAGAAGAAATGGAAATGGTGCCTAGTAAATATGGGGACAAAATGAGAGATAATTTTTTCAGTGTTTGCCTCGTATAGTTTTTCTTTTGAACTATGCAAATACATACATTTGGTTGGCAAAATAGTTTGTTCCATACAATGGCTCTAGTAGTGCTTAGTTGTCTTTAACTTCATTTGAAACAAGTTTTTTAGATTGTACTGTCACAACTGTCATATCAATGCGTTTTTTAAAAACCTTACCAACATTGAACTTTAGTGCAGCCATGTTAACATTGAAGATAGAAGGAAATATGCAACATTCCCGGCCTGTAATGCTTTATTTCAAGAAAGGTAGAAACACAACTAAAATGCAAAAAAAAAAAAAAAAGATTTGTGCAGTATATGGAGAGGTGCTGTGATTGATCGGACATGTCATAAGTGGTTTGCAAAGTTTCTTGGTATATTTACATATTGAACAAAGAATTCTTTGCTGTGTGGCTGTCTTATGCACTGGAAGATGTTTAGCAGCACTTCTGGCCTCTACCCACTAGAAGCCAATAGCAGAAGATAGCCGACATACTCAAAATATCCAAATCAATAAAGTTATTGGTGAAAATGAAAACTGTGTCCTTTATTTTACAAAAAAAAACTAAACGAACTGTGTGGCCAACCCAATATTACTTGTAGCTTTCAAAAAAATGTATTTAGTAAGCCCTTAAGACAAATGCTCTAAGAGTTGTAATTATAACTGAGTTGAAAAACTTTTGAACAAAAGATGTAGTTATTTCCCACGAAAACAAATAATGGAGTTAAATGAGAAAATAAAATTTGGTGTTTTCAAAAAAGGTTCATTTCATACCTAACTTGGAGTTACATTTAAAATGTCAAGTCTTATTACTAAGCTAAAAGACCTCCATACATTTGTATAAAAGTTGTTTTACTTTACATTATGTCAAACAATTTTTAAATTAGTAGTATTTTAACATGCTAGATTGTTAGTACATTTGTACTTATGGAAAAATTTTAACAGAAGAGTAATACTTACCTGATAAATATTTCTTTTCATATGGAACTAAAATACAAAAGAAAACCAAAATTAAAATTTAAGTATGCTTTATTCTAAGTTTGCTTTTAAACACTTTCAAAGCAGCTAAAAATGAACCCTTTAATAGCTCACTAGGATCCATATTTCTTCTGCTTAGTATTGCATGTGTTACCTGTTTCAAACTTAATTTATTAAAAAAAGATGTAGAGGTCTGATAAGATGCATTAGCTTGGTTGGTGAAAAAAGGAATAAGGAAACTCAGACAATCAGTGAGGGAAATAAGAGGATTGTGGCTGGAGAGTCTGTAGAAAACACAGTAAAATTAAAGCACACATTTGTGCGCCTCATTAGTATCACAACTGTGACCTTACTGTATTAGTGCGCATTTACTCATGGTTTCTGATGTTTCAAAGTTTAATTAAAAATTTGGTTTATGTAATGGTGCTCTGAGGCACAGTAAAGGACCCTATATTTTAAAAGTCCAATAAATAATGGAAGTTAAAGGCTACTATCATAAAACTACGACATTTTATATAATCATTATAAAACTGTAGTCAAAAACTCCCCTGAAGCAAGTAAAAAATATCTACCATATTTTGCTTTGTGTAATGTGCTCCTGTGTATAATGCACACCCATGTTTTGGTGTGCGTGATACACAGGAGTATTACACCCATGGGATGTAATTATTATACCCATGTATGATGCACATCCTTATTTTCCCCTCAAAAATTTGGGCTAAAGATGTGCATTATACATGGCAAAATACAGTACTTTCAGGTTTAAAGAGAGAAAATAAACCAGAGAAGGTGTATAGTTTTTGTTTTGCAGTTAAAGTGGAAGGGAATATTAAAAGCAGACTGAGGAAATGGCTACGTTATGTTTCAGGCACTCCAAAATTGTATTTTGAAATTTAAATGCCTTAAATGAGAGAACAATTTCTAGAATTTACAACAGACTTCATGTAATGTTTTAGTAATAACATCAAAATGCTGTGGTTCAAAGTTGTTGTACACTAGGAAGTATTATGATGGGTCAAAAGAAAAAATTTTAATCAGGAATAAATTATAAAACTACAAAGCAATTTTTCTTTGCCAAAAGAAATCAGTCCTTGTACAGAATCAAATTATTTGTAAACTAACATTAGAATCCCGGAATCATTAGAATTCTGGAATCAGACATGATTATTCACCACTTCTACTATTCAATCAAATCACACGTAAAGAGGCTCTGATACTGAATACTTTTCTTTGAACAACCAAAAAAAAAATTTGGCCTTGAAAGCTCTAAGAATAAGTGGATACAATAAAATATGTGGGGTTCACCTAATCTGGCCATACCTTTTAAATGTAAGAGAATTAATATTTGAATTCTAAGAGATGTGATAATGAACCCTCCTAATACTGCGTTGGTCAAAAAGTTCATTTCTTTTTTTTGGTAAGATGGCTCTAATAGTGTTTAGTAGTCTTTAATTCCATTTGAAACAATGTTTTTAGATTGTATTGTGACAGCTGTCATGTCAGTGTGAGTTTCTTAAAAACATCAAAATTTGTGAATTTTTGTGCAGCCATTTTAATATTGAAGATGGAAGAAAATATGCAATTTTCAGCGCACTTTACTGCTTCAAGAAAGGTAAAAACAACTGAAACGCAAAAAAAAAAATTTTGCAGTGTATGCAGAAGGTGATGTGACTGACCAAATGTGTCAAAAGTGGGTTTTGCGAAGTTTTATGTTGGACTTTTCTCTCTGGATGATGGTCCACGGTCAGGTAGACCAGTTGAACTTGATAGTGACCTAATCGAGACTAATCAAGCCTTATACCATGCTGAAGATAGCCAACATACTCAAAATATCCAAATCAATAAAGTTTTTGGTGAAAATGAAGAGTGTGTCTTTTATTTTATAGAAAAAAATAAGGACTTTGTGGCCAATCCAATATATATTCTGGTCTTACTCCCTCTCCTGAGGCATACTTAAAATTATTTCAAAACCAGCCCTACTTTCCCCCTGCTCTTAGATTGGAAAAATGCCTTTAATTATACTTACTGGCTGCTTTGCAAAGGGTTCCTTGCACAGAAGTAACTTCACAATTTCCTTTTTTCCATTCACCAGTCATGGTGTGCAAAAAGGCACAGGTGTCAACTAGATCCTCCTCATCATCTTGGTCTGCCCACTTATGAAACGTCATATTTGAATTATCAAACCACTTGAAACTTGAATCTGTCAGTTAAGAATATCCTTATCAGTATAAAAGCCAAAGGGTCTAGGATTAAAGGTGGGAAGTGACTAAGGTATGTCTGGTTCAAGCATTTGGTTGTAGGATTTAAATTAGAAGAGGACTATATCCTGTGTACAGGTAAATTAAAGGTATTGGTTCAAGAAGGTTCTGGAGATCTCATGTTTGTAAGGAAAAAAATACCATTTTATGGAAATAGCCAAGAAAATAGTTAAATTATTAACAATAACCTTCACTTCATTTTGAAAGCAATTACATATTTTCTATAGTAACAATAAGTACATTTACATGATATATATAACCTTTATAGTTGTCCATCTGTGTCCTATTAATCATTGACACTAACACTGATTTTTATAACCCTGCCATATTATAACAATACTGAACCCAGAACCATATTTTTATCCAGATGAAAGAATCAACTTCAACTGTCACAAGTGAAACACATTGAGCTGCTCAGGGAAAAGTTGTGGTACAAGACAGGGGTGCATACTGACACTGCAGTATCTGGAGACCAGAGGAAGCCCACCTTGAGCTAGAGAATCCAAGAATCTAAAAGAAAGTAATCAGTTTTACTAATGCTAAGGAAAGAAGAGTGGTATCTCAAGATAAATATCACTTACCATCTGTATCATAAAACATGCCTAGTAGGATATCATCCGGGCCTTTCCATTGCTTTTTCAAAGTATCCAGTATGAAAGCATTTTCTTCTTCATTGTGTATGCTGATCATATCTGCTCCTGAAATTATTTTAGGAAGAAAAGTCTCCCCAGAGCCAATAAAAATCACATGAAGTATATAAAAGTATATATTATTAAAATACATAATGTTACACTATTACATTTTTAAATGTAGCTTGAAAATATGCACATCTGAAAAGAATGTAATTGTGAGAAAAGTAATGTGATATAAATTGAACAGAATCATTTTATATTGTTTCATTCACCTAGAGTTCATAATCTTATTTTCAGGAAAACATCTTGAGGAGATGCTAAGCAGTAAAACACACTTTATGCATCTCTGCTTTTTTCCACTACTCACTTTTCCTAGCAATCATGGCCCCATTTCACAAGGATAGAGAGGAGTAGCTCTTACCAACCCACACCCAAGAGAGCTAGAAAGTATTAGGGCAACTTGCTAGAACAGTCCCAAGACCTAGTCAAGTTCAAGTAACAAGCAGTGTCTCTGACCTACCTCACTTAACTGGCATTCATATCCCTGCTGCCCAAAGCCTAGTCCCGTATTCTCCTCTGGTTAACCAGAACTTAAGTCCTGGTTAATGACAAAGGAGGTCCCCATTCTTACTGGGTAATTAATTGGATTTTCCTGGGACTCTCACTGGGTTCAAGGGTAAAGAGCAGCAGCCATGTATATTCTTGTCTCGGATATATTAACTTTTTTTATCCTTACAATCTATAAGTTACATAGCACCCTATAAATAGCAACAGTAACTCCACTTTTCCAAGAGATATTTAACCTTGTCCCTTAACCCAAAGGTTCTCTTGCAAATTAAAAAATAAGTCCACTGTCTTCATTAGTTAATACATATGAGAAAACACTAGTGGAGTTAGTTTCTCTAGTGCTGTGTATGTTTTTGCAAACTAAAACAATGAATGACATCGAAGCTTGTAGAAACCAGAAATCTGGTTGGGAGAATACATCTAACCCTTGGTGAGGATAGAAATAACATCCTTTCAGCTGTATGTGGCTACATGAAGAATATAACAATGTTCCTAAGAAAATGATTCTCCAGCCTCAGTAATTACAGAAGTAACAACTTTCCTATTTTCCAAGGATAAGTTGTTTATCTTACACATATTTCAAAGTTAGTTTGGAGGCTCTGTGTACTACAATGAATTCAAGTACATAAAGGAATGAGGAAAAAGCCTTCTCTACTATTGAATTACATTATTCCAAAATCATCCTGACAACAAGGGTTCCTGAAAACCTCGGTACAGTTATACCAAGGAGGTTCTCTGAACTGTAGTCTGCATCAGAATCACCTGGAGAGCGTGTTAATACAGAGTGCTGGGCCTCACACCAGAGTTCCTGATTCTGTGGGAGTAAGATGGGGCCTGAGAATTTACATTCCTAACAAGTTCCCAGATGATGCTAATACTGCTGATACAAAAGACCACACTGAGAGTTAAAGGAGGCTTAAACAGTAGGCTAGTATACTTATGACATCACTCTAAGATCAATAATAATTTTTGTAATAAGCTAACAGTTAACTGAAGAAGAGAAAGGGTTCCTGTTATGTTCTAATGTGGTAAGAAAATCTGTATTAGGTTATTGCTTTCACATCTTTCAAAAGAGGCTCAACGAAGAAATTTAATTAGAGAAAAAAAACCACTATAGAGCCAAAAATGCCCCCCCAAAGCATACCATATTGTTAAAAAAAAAAAACACCTCACAGAAGCTCTATTAAAAACAAAAAGGCAAACATCTTAAAAAATTGTTCTCAAACTGAAAAAGGTAATTCACAAAAGAAAATATAACAAAAATATGTGAAAAATTCAATCTTATTGGTAAAGAAATGAAAATTAAAAAAATAAGCACATGTTCAGATTAAACAGCGTCCACCTTGGGTGTAGAAAAAATATTTAGGAACTCATAAATGGGTAGAGTAGAAATTAGTACATAGTAGAACCTTTTCAGAGACAATATGGAAAGATATATCAAAAGCCCTTTAAAAAGAATATACAGCCCTGACCAGTGTGGCTCGGTTGGTTATCACACCACAAAACAAAAGGTTGCCATTTCGGTTCCCGGTCAGGACACATGCCTGGGTGGTTGATTTGGTCCCCAAATGCAGTGCATGCAAGATGCAACCAACTGATGTTTTTCTCTAGAAACATCAATTGTTTCTTTACATCTCTTGCTCCCTCCCACTACCTCTCTCTAAAGGTAAATAAATACAATTTTGGTGGAAGTTTCACTAACCACCTACCAGAACGTTACAACTAAAGTGTAGGTAAATCATCCTGAATAACCAACCGAAGACTCCCTGGAGAGAAGCCTTCTAACCGAAGACCTACAGAAGGAGCCACATCACCGTGAGACTGGTAGGAAGTGTGGAAGCATGAGAAGACTGGCTGGGCTCCCAGAGGCAGCAGTGCAAGTTCCAGAGGGGTATTTCAGCAGCCGGGTGGGAGGTTACCCTGAGAACTGTGAGGTCTAAACCCCAAGCTGGGCTCCCCAGCCTAGAGCATTAGAACTGGAAGAGGAACCCAAATAACATCCAACTATGAAAAGCAGCAGGGTTTTTTTCTACCACGGAGACAAGGCAATAGACACAAATAACTGCTCAAGAGGCCAGTGAACAAATTTTTCTTTGCAACCAGTTAATCTGGGCTCCAGCAGAGGGAAGGCAGAGCAGACTAGAGCCATGTTAGGAGTCATGGATTGGTGACTCAGAGAGGTAAAGAAGGGTCAGCTGCCAGGGTCCCTGTACTCCATCATTCCCCACACTGCAGAAGCCATCTGTCTCAGGGCATCAGTCTGGGAGAAAGCAATAGCACCACCCACAGAAATCCCTCTCCCCCCTCCCTGCGGAGCTTAAACCTGGCTGCTGAGGCAAACAGCTAGAGGGCCTTTTAGAGATAAAGGCAAATGGGAAGCAGGCAGGCAGATGCAGATCACTGGGAGCTTTGAGACCTAGGCTGACTCTTACCCATGGCCCAGTGCTGGTAAAAGCTAGCCTTGCTGCACAGCCTTGTTCTTTCTGCACACAAACAGACCCTGCAAAGGGAGCCACAATCTGTGGATCACTGATAAATCCAAACTGGTTTCCCAGGGCCAGTCACAGATGACATCTGACACAAGTCTGCACCAGTGTCTTTGCAGATCTGCCTAATACACAGAAACAAATGCAAAGAGGCGGCCAAAATGGGAAGACAAAGAAACAGGCTCCAAATAAAGGAACAAGAGAATTCTCCTGAAGAAGGGGTACATGAAATGGAGGCAAGCAATTTATCAGATATAAAGTTTAGAGTAATGATTATAAGGATGCTCAAAGCATAAAAATGACATAAAAAATTAAAAAGCAGAAATAAAGAATGCAATATTTGAAATAATTAATACACTGGAAAGAATAAACAATAGGTTGCATGAAGCAGAGTATCAAATAAGTGATTTGGAAGACAAGTAGAATAAAACAGCCAAGCAGAGCAGCAAAAAAAAAAAAAAAAGGAATTAAAAAATAAGTAGAGTTTGAAGGACCTTTGGGACAACATAAATTGTAACAACATCAACCTCATGGGGATACTAGGAGAAGAGAGTGAGCAAGGGATTAAGAACCCAATGGAAGAAATAATGACTCAAAGCTTCCCTAACCAGGTACAGGAAAAAGACACATAAGCACAGGAAGCCAGAAGAGTTCCAAACAAGATGGATTCAAAGAAGCACACAAGACACATCATAATTAAAATGCCAAAGCTTAAAGTCAAGAAGAAAATCTGAAATGGTACACAAGAAAAGCAGTTACTTGCAAGCAATCTCACATAAACTGTCAGTTGATTTCTCAACAGAAACATTTTGGGCCAGAAGGGATTGTCATGAAATATTCATGGTGACAAAAGCAAGGACCTACAACCAAGGCTATTTTATTCAGCAAGGCTATCATTCAAAATTGAAGGAAAAAGAAAAGCTTCCCAGATAGGAAAAAGCTAAAGGTGTTTGTTACCACCAAAGCAGTACTGCAATAAATGTTAAAGGGCTTGTTTAAGAAGAAAAAATAACCCAGAAGAAAATGGCAATACATACATATATATCAATAAGCACTTTAAATGCAAATGGCTTAAATGCTCCAATCAAAAGACATAGAGCAGCTGAATGAATAAGAAAAAAAAACATACACATGTTGCCTCCAAAAGACCCACCTCAGAACAAAAGATACACAGAGACTAACAGTAGAGGTATGGAAAAAAATATTTCAGGCAAATAGAAAGGGAAAGAAAGCTGGGGTAGCAGTACTTATATCCAACAAAATAGACCTTAAACCAAAGCTAAAGTAAGAGACAAAGAAGGACAATACATAATGATAAAGGGAAAAATCCAACAAGGAGATATAACCCTAGTAAATCTTTATGCACCCAATGTAGGATCACTTAAATATGTAAAGCAAATCCTGAAGGACATAAAGGGAGAGACTGAAAGAAATGTGGTCATAGGAGGGAATTTTAACAAGACACCCACTTGAAAGGATAGGTCTTCCAGACAGAAAATCAACAAGAAAATAGTGGCCTTAAATGACACACTAGACCAAGTAGATCTAACTGATATCCAGAAAGCATTTCACCCCACAGTAGCAGAGTATACATACTTTTCAAGTGTACATGGAATGTTTACTAGGATAGACCACATGTTCGGACACAAAATAAGTCTTGATAAATTTAAAAAGACTAAAATCACATCAAGCATCTTCTCTGATTATGAAACTAGAAATGAATCACAAGAAGAAAACTGAAAAATACACAAAGACATGGAGGCTAATAACATGTTATTAAACAATGAAAGGGTCGACAACAAAATCAAGAAAGTAATCAAAAGATACCTTAAAAAATAAAAATGAGGACACAACCTAAAATCTGCGGGACATTGGAAGAGCAGTCTTAAGAGGGAAATTCATAGCATTACAGGCCCATCTTAAGAAACAAGAAAAAGCAGGAAAAAATAATCTAATTCTACACCTACAGGAACATGAAAAAGAACAACAAAGTCCGCAGTAAGTAGAAGGAAG